GGGATCCTCTCCTCCCATCGATGTAATGATCAAAATGGCATCTATGCCCGACTGGACACATCATGTTCACGAGAGTCATTTCCTTCGAGAACTGGGGAGCACGTGCTGACAGAAGCCATGGCTGTGCTGCTAATGTCCCATAGAAAGCAGCTCCCATCTTTAAACGCAGAGTCACGGGCAGGAGGCCAAGGAGTTCTAGCTGCCCTGCCATTGGATCCTCATCAGCAGCGCCATAGCAGCTAACACTTCCACAGTCCTGCAAAGGGCAGGGCGTCTAACCCGCCCCACCACCTGCCTCACAGCCACCGTATGAGAGGAGTGTAAAGACACTGTCTCTGTTTTACAAGTGAAGAAACTGAGGCACAGAGAAGTCAGGTAACCTGCCTGCCTAAGATCGCACAGCTGTCTACTCAGTGCTAGGACTCACACCCAGGTAGTCTGACTCCAAAGCCCTCGCCGCCATTGTCTTAGCTTCCTACAGCCTCCTGTCTCAAGGAATATCCTGACAGTAGAATCTAGAGCACCCCCCCACCCCCGCCAATTCACCAGCTCTGCTCCCGCAGTGTGATATGGCATTTTCTAGTTCTAAACTTATATATAAAATCTCTTTAAAGGTTTAATTACTTTGATTGCAGGTCTTGTACCCCAAAAAAGATCTGTATAAAGTATTTAGTAATTCATCACTCCAATTTTCCCAGGAACAACTTCTCAACGAATACGGATGAGGCATATGACGTTAGCGATGTCTGCGAAGGGACTCAGTGTGCTCCAGCCTCCTCTCCTGCAGCAATGGAGGCCTCCTATCATCTCCGGGTATTCCCGGGGAAGAGAAATGGGTGGGAGTGCACGAACCCTGGTTCAGACGCAGGTGACGCCACAAGCAGGGGTCCAGCAGCAGTAACAGAGCTCAGGGCCGCCCCGACCTCTCCCCGAGCAGGCTCCCTTCTGTGAAAGGAGGCAGAGCGAGACAGCAGGAAACAGGATTACCCTGGCTGGTGTCAGGAAAGCTTTGTGACCATATTTTTCGCTCCCTCAGCAGGACTCAGAGCAAATCCACTGATTGAATATTCCCGATAACTCTCAAGTGAAGTTTAGGGGCTAAAGTTTGTATACCAAGGACTTTAATCCACTGCCTTTTTAAACTTAAGCCCAGCTATCGTTTCCCAGGCCTCGGGGAAAGGAAGCTGCAGAGTAGAGAGGACTGGAAACCCTAAGGATGGACGCTGGGTGCCTCCCCGAGAAACTCAGGGACCAACCCTGAAGTCGCCGGAAGCTGGAGACAGACGCTCGCCATCACCCTCGGGATGCCGACTAACCACAGAGGCCCCTGCCAGGCCGGAGCCCAAAGCCAGGAGCACAACCTGAGCCTCCTGCGCGACCACAAACCCTGCCTGGAAGATCGCGACTTGTGAAACAGTGACTTTGTGAGAGCAGCTGGGCCGGCCGCCCCTCTGGGCACGCACCGCCTCTGACTGGCTGCTTCCCCGCCCCCCGGCCTGGTCCACAGCAGAGGGATTTCCAAAAGTGAACTAGCTAGAGCTGTTTAAAACGACCGAATGTTAGAGCTGGAAGGGGCCCCCAGGACACTGTGATCCAACGCCCCCACTTTACAGAAGAGGCAACTGAGACTTCAAGAGAAGCTACAATGCGCCCCCTCCAGCCCCCCTAAAATAAACCTCCCCGGCAAAACTTCAAGAAAAGATGGTGATGCAAACAGGACATATAGGCCGGTGGGGTTCTTCGGGGTTTGCAGGTTTGGGGGTGCAAAAAGGAATTTTGAGAAAACACCCCTGTGCCTTTACGGGCTGCACCGCTGCCCGCACTGGACTTGCTCAAAGGGGCTCTGGTCCCAGAGCCCTGGGCTGGGCTGGGCCATGAGTACAGTCAGCATGGGCCCCCAGCACCTTCGGTGGCAGCCTGAGTCTCAGTTTCCTGAAATCTCCATGCTTGGCATTTGGAGCCGTCAGGGGAGTCTCCCCCAGGACACACCAGGTTCCAAACCACCCAGGAGGAAGAGCAGGGAAGACAGCCACAGAGGTGGGGAAGCAGGGAGGAGAAAGACCAACTTTAGCAAGTCTAGAAGAGGATTCATGCAGCACAAGAAGACCAGACTGCAACCACGGGGCAAAGAAGCCGGGAGATGCTGCCGGAGCGCCAGCCAGCGCCCAAGCGGGCTGGGGCCGGAGGGTTAAATTTAGCCAGTAAACAGAGCCCGCGGGGAGAGGGCCTGGTTGGCACAGAGCCACCACCTGCTCCGAGAGCAGCCGGCGCTTCTGCTGAAGGGAAGGTGGGGCCAGACCTCTGCCAAACAGCAGGTCCGATGTCCGTGCTCCACCAACTTGCTGTGGGGGAGTGGGCGCACGCTCCTCAGAGATGGGTAGAAGGGTATTTTTACTTGAAAAGGTGTCTCAGATTACAAACCATCAGGTCTTTTCATCTTTATCACAGTATCTATTCTCATCCTCATTGCTGGTTTTTCTGGACTCTGGATGCAGTTAGAAGATGCTCAGTAGACACCTGCCAAGCGTGTCCTCAGGTGAGGGTGGGGAGCCCCCGTATTCTCTCCCCACAAGGGGATTTTTATGTCTACTGCTGTTCTGAGTCTTGAGAGACCTGACGGAGTTGCAAACACTATAACCAACCACAACCACACAACTCTGAGGGCTGTGTTCAGGTGTGGGGCTGGACCAAACGGGACCTGAAGCCCAGTTTAGACGATTAAGGAGATCAAGGACAGGGAGTTTGAAAAGCAGCTTGGGAGAACAGAGTCAGAAGAGCAACAGGAAAGCATTTGTGGACATACCGGGTTTTATTTCAGAGAAGACAATATCACTTCACGTAAAAACGTCCTCCCTGCTAGAGATGCCAGGCCCCGGCAATCCAGAAACCAGCAGAGCTGTCCTGGAAGTAAGAATTGGAACAGACTAGCCTGCTCCTCTGCCCTCCTTGGAGAAGAGCAAACTAAAAATCTTTCAGCTGCCACCAGAGTGGGAGGAAGTGAAACGCCAGGTGAACAGTCCCCACTTCTTTCTTTTCACAGCTTCTGGGTCCCAGCAAATTTGGCAATATCCCTTTAACTTATACTTTGGGGACGGAAAAAATTTTTCAAAAACGCTTGTTTCAAGTCAGTAAGACACCCCTGGAGATATTACAACCACCAAACGAACTAAAGAGGGGACTGGTTTCAGACACCCCAGGAGACCCCTCATTCACTCACCCTCGCCCACACACTGATGGGAGACATCAGAGCCTGGGGAAGCAGGAAACCTCTGGATGGGAGGGAGCCCGCGAGCTCTTCCCAGGGCTGGCTCCTGCCCCTGGCAGAAGACCCCACAGTGTCACACGCCCTCTGTCTGATTTTCTCTAGCGAAGGAAGGGGAGCTGTTGCTCACGGCTGGCCTGAGGTATTCATCCACACATCATCCCCTTAGGTCCCTTTGCTCCCCGCCTTCACCTCCCACCCTGGTGTCAGCGCCGCCTGAGAGCTGGCTTGAAGGCTGCCTTCTTCCTTGGGCTCCTGGGCTCGGCTTCACCACGCACAGCCCAGGGTACTGCTCCTCGGACAACTGTGCAGTCTCTGGGCACTGCCTTTCCTCGGGAGGGGACACACCCCCTGCTTCTTGCTATTTATAACCGCAAATCCATGTCAAAGAGAGAAGAGACACTATTTTGAAATGGAGGAAAACCACCACTCAGCCTCCACCTCTCACAGGTCGGTGTGTTTGCCAGGACTTGTGTGTGTAAGCCTGGACAGGCATGTGGGCACAAGCTCAGGGCCTGGCGCCCACTCATCCATGCCTCCGATTGGGAGTCTTGCCTTTGATAATCTGAAACAGACAGCAGCAGGAGTGGCTGGATCCAGGAAAGGGTCCTCTGACTTTGCGAGGGTGTGCCCACTGCTCCCAGGGGCCCTACGTTCCCTTAGGGCCAGTCACAAAAGGGGTCACCCTAAGCTTCCACGACAGGGGTGCACAAGTGCTCGTATTTGGCCAGGAGCCTGACTCTGCCCCACTGACCCAGAGTTTCCTGCACCCACACTAATGGCATGGCACAGATGTCCCCTCAGAGCTCCGTCAGGTGGGCACATTCCTTGGCGACTGGAGCAGTTCTGGGGATTGGTAACACGATCCTGTGCTTTCCTCCTCCGGGTACTAGGCTGAAATCTGCCCAGGGTGGTAGTAATTGAAAGCTGGTGCCACCGAGGCCAGGTGGCAAAAGGAGTGAAGGCCGCCTGGGGTGAAAGCGAGAGCAAATCCCCCTCCTCACAGCCAGGCTTGAGCAGCCTGTTTCCCTCTCTGTGAAACGGAACCAATCCTGCTCCAAGCAACTAAATGACCTCTCACAACGACGTGCAGGATGAAAATATCTAGGAAATTGGCTCTGACTAGAGTGCACGGCCAAATACCTACCGAGACTCCACAAGAGGATGGAGAAGGAGGTCCCTTCCCACTTCTCCCAAGACGAGGACGGATGCAGCCTAAGGAGCGGAGGGACAACGAAAGGGACCTCGGGACACCCCTCGGGGCTCTACCTGCTCCGCCGCAGGCAGGAAACCAGGCAGCGAGCTAAGCCCGCTCGGGAAGGGGAAAGGCCTGCGCCTGCAGCGCTCGCCCCAGGCTGGCGGACGCGGGCCGGACCCCGGGCAGAGGGCTCCCGCCGGCCCGGCGGGCGCGGAAGAGGCAGCGAGGAGCTCCGAGGGGCTCGCGCTTCCCGGACAGCCGCGCAGTCCCCGCGCACGCCGCCGGCGGCCGCTCCCAGGCCACCCCCTCGCCGCCACCTGCGGGGACGGAGCGCCCGAGCTGCCGCGGGAGGGCGAGGACGCCGCCTGCCCTTCGCCCCCGGCGGGGGCACCCGACGGCCGCCCGCGGTCTGCAGCGCCGCCCCCGGCCGGCTCCCGGCGCCCCGAGCCGCGCGCACCCTCGTCCCTCCCCGCGCCGCGACCCGAGCGCCCAGGGGACGCCCGCCGGGAGCGCGGGGGGCCGGGCGGGGAGGGCGCTTACCTGGCCGGGTTGCGGCTCGCGCGCTCCTCGGCGGCTCCTCTCGGCGGCGGGGCGGGGGCGGGGGCGCGGGGCGGGGGCCGCTCCTCTCAGCGCGCGGGCCGCTCGGGCCGCCGCGCCGGACTCGGCATCCGCGGCCGGGCGCGCTCCGCTCCGGGGCTCCCGCCGAACCGTCGGCCCGCCCGCGATGCTGGGGCCGCCGCCCGGGGTCCGCGGAGCCCGGCCGGGCGGTCCGGGCCCTCGGGGTCCGCGCTCCCTCGGCGCCGGGAGGGCCCCCTGCCCCGGGCCCGGGACCCCGAGCTCGGCGGGCGGGGCGGGCGCGCTGCGGAGCCCGCGGCCGAGCCGGAGGGAGGCCGCCGCAGACGGTCGTCGCAGGCTGCGCGCCCTGCTCGGAGCGCAGGAGCCGGAGAAGTTTCGGCCCCGAGTCGGCTGCGGGGCGGCGGCGGCGCTCGGAGTGCAGGGCCGGCGCTGGGCGAGAGGCTCCCGGGCTCCCGGGCTCCCCGCCCCCGCCCCGCCTCCGCGCCGCCTCCCCGCCCCCCGGCCGCGCCGGCCCCGCGCTCCGTCCGACCGGCCGCGGGCGCGACACTCCGCCCGAGGGCTCCTCCCGGGCGCTGGGACCGTGACCTCGCACCTGCCCGCCGCCCCGGGGCCCTCGCCCTTCCCCTCGGCCCCTCGGCCCCTCGGCAGAGCGGCCCGGGCCTCGACGCGGGGTGCGGATGGCGAGCCCAGCCCCCTTCCCGGGCCCACCGCCTTCTTCTCCCGGAGCTCGACCTGGTCCTCTGGGACGACCTGTGGGCTCACCAGGCCAGCAGCCCCCTCGGGGCGCCCAGCGCTCCAGGAGGAGCACCTACCCAGGGGTGCGGAGCTGGAGGCGCTGAGAGGGCAGAGAGGTGGGTCAGCAGCTCTTGTATTTCCAGCGAACACTGGCCCGCGCTTGATCCTCCTTTGAACCCCCCAAAGAAGTAGCTTGAGCGAGTATTTCCGCTTTACAAACCCAAGTCATTCCTCTCGTAGGCCTGGACCCTTTCCTGCAGCCCCCGGCGCACAGCCCCTTGGGCTAAGGAGATCTGATGCGGGGTCACGCCAGGAGAGGTGCTTCCAAGTGAGATGTGCGCTGTTGGGGACCTCACAGCACCCCTGGGTGACCTGCCCTGGGAGTTAGCCAAGGTCCCGCTAACTCGAACACCAGCTGCTGCGCCCTGTCCCAGAACCTAGGAACAGCGTGCCGACCGGGAGCAGCCCGCACGTGTGAGGCCTGGCCGCCAACGCCTTTATTTTACACGCTGAAACCCCCATCTCTTCCCTGGGTGCGTGGGAGGTCGTCCTGCTAGAGAAATTACCTTTGAATGTAGTAAGTACAGTGAGGGAAAAACAAAACAAAAAATAGTAATAATGGAAGGCTTTGCCTTTCCTTAATTAGTAACCAGACACGGTGACAGCCTTCCCCTTTCAGTGAGGGAGGGGGCCCCGGGGAGGCTCAGGGAATGAGGGACCAGGAACCCCACACATTCGGTTGGCAATAAGAAGCTATTGTCCTCAGGGTTTTACAATAAGGAAAGTAAGAGCTGTTTTAGCAAATACTCGACTAATTAGAGGGAAAGACTTCCTTGGAATTGTGCCGGCTTAGGCCAGAGGCTCGCGACAGCTGTTCTCACCTCTCTGTGCATGGGGTTTATGAGGCCAGGTCTAGCAACCTAAAATGAGGGGCCTATAACTGCCATGGGGCTTCACCAAGGGGGCTCGTTCAAGGCTGTATCTTTGGGACAGATGGGACGGGGAGGAGAGCCGGCGTACAGCAGGCATGAAAGCTTTGACCCACTTTGTCAAATTACAAATGGGCTCAGTTCCTCTCCTCAGAATAAAGCATCAGTTCCGGGATTTCGGTCTTTGTGGGAGGTCAAGGGAAGGCCTTGTCCAGGAGATCATTCCGGAATGCAACCCGGAAGAATTTGGGGATTCACTTCCTACACACATTTATTGAGCCCTAAACACACAGAGATGACGAAGACCAGCTCCCAGCCCGAGGAAGGGTAAAGTCTGCAGGAGTAGGATAGGGGTAGGGGACAAAATTCTCATTTGGGGCCTAGAATGAGCACAAGAAGGGACGACTCTGCTTGGTCCCCAGCACACGACCCAGGAGAAGAGCAGGTGGCCTCAGCTGAATGTCCCACACCTCGCCCTGCGCTTTGTCCAAGATGAGTCAAAGTTTGTGGCCCAGAGAAGGAAGCTGCAGCGCCCCCGGAAAGGAGCCTGCGGCTGAGTAGCCGGGAAAGCATCTGAATGAGGAGACAGTGGGCCAGATTCCCAAGGGAAGTGGTGCCGCCCCACAGCTCGCGGCACTGGACTGCTGAGGCGGCTCAGCCAGCCCTGGGGCAGCACTGAAGGGAGTGTGGACAGGTCTGGCCCATGTTTTGTCTGTGATTGCTGGGCGGGGTCTCTCGCCTTCTCCCCCAAATAAAACATATCCTGACTTAGCATTTGTGGTTTAAACAAAGAAAGAAAAAACAAATATTCAGACCTATGGAAATTTGTAGTGATTCCTGCTCCGTTTATTGGAGACACTGTTCTCGCTTCCTGGTCATGCCCTCGCAGAGCACCAGCCACACTCAGAGGCCCCTTCCACGCCAGAACGTTTAACAAAAACCCTCCAGAAAGAGTCAGAGAGGAGCCAGCCTCCTCCACTGCCTTGGCTGTCTGTGGCTTTCCTGTGGGGTGGATCTAGGCTGACCTCTGGCCCTGGGGCTGTGCCTTCTGAGGGCGATGGTCCCCTTCTCATTCCCAGCACCAGGAGGCAGAGCGTCCGGTGGCGCTGCTGGTCCTGCCGCTGGCGGTGGTGGAGTAGAGCACCCGTGTCGCAGGATAGTCTTCCATTCCGCCTCAGGCTGCTTCTCTGGCCCCTTTCACAGGGGTTATTTGGGGTGCACAGAAAATTTCTTTGGGGAACCAGCCTGATGAACCTTCAAAGCCCAAAACAGGAGGGAGAGGCAAAGCTGATAACCTTTTCTCCCAACAGCTGTTTCACAGGCATTTCACCTCTGTTGTCTGGGTTATTCGGTGTTCATTTTTGTGCTTGCTATTTGGATGTTTTTCTAAGAAAGAGAGCTTAAAAAAGTGGTAGATTCTGACCCAAACATCCAGACACCCCAGACTCACAACAGTCGAGACCATTTGGGACGTCTGGATAGGCAGGAATTCTAAGAGCTGAAGGCAGCAGGGGTGTGAGAAGAGAACTTGGCTGACCCTGAGTTTGAGTCCAGCTCTGCAGTTCACTTGAAAAGGTTCTCACCAGGATGCCAGCAGCTCACCGCATTTGCATAAAGGCACAAGGAGGGCTGAACTAGGGAGTCTCAATGTGTGCAGAGAGCTGACCAGTTTATAAGCTGCTTTTACATTTTCTTCTTAGTTGAGATGCATCGAGGCGCACAGTCCCGCTCGTCTCGCTTGGAGGCCCCTCCTCGAACCGCTTCTCCCTCAAACAGAGGCTAACGCCCTCCAGGGAGGGGATCTGGTGCAGTTACTGAGGAAGCGGCCCCAGATCAGCCGCACAGGGAAATCTGGCCTCGCCACGTGTGCGATCTTGGGCAAGACACTGACCCCTCTGAGCCTCAGTTTCCTCATCTGAAAGGAACTGGTGGTCAGACCGCCTTCCTCATGGGGATGTGAGAATTAAACAGGACAATGCAGATGCACTAAGAACCAGGCCTTCCCTGGAGTGCAAACTCCATAAATATTAATAGTGCTACTCTGGCTATTAAATAGACATTTTGTATGTCTATTTTAAATATGTCTACTGTTGCTCTCAGTCCTTGAACTCCTGGATTTTTTTTTTTAGATTTTATTTTTCCTTTTTTTCTCCCCAAGGCCCCCTGGTACATAGTTGTGTATTTTTAGTTGTGGGTCCCTCCAGTTGTGGCATGTGGGACACCACCTCAGCATGGCCTGATGAGCGGTGCCATGTCTGTGCCCAGGATCCGAACCGGCGAAACCCTGGGCCGCCGAAGTTGAGCGCTCGAACTTAACCACTCCGCCCCTGGGCTGGCCCGGGAACTCCTGGACTTTTAATCCTCATTTTTTCTCCTAAGAGAAAACAAAGAGAGTCTTAAATTGTTCCCTGAATGAGTTACTGCTTTACAAATATCTAGAATGAAGCAGTTGAAGGTGTCACTAAAAACCGGCAAAATCCAGAGACCCCAGCTGACTGGGATGGGGGAGTTTTGTTATCTGGTCAGTATCACTCATCAAGGTCCAGAAAAAAGAAAACGAGAAGCACTAAGGAATGCAGCCCTGTTAATAAACTGCCCCAATGCTTAACCAAAAGACGAGGTACTATTTGAAATTGGAACGGACAGGAGATGCTGCTTTCCCTTTTGAGGCTGTAATGTCCCCACGTCCCTCCTGTTTCCCCCCTTCTCCACGTGGCCTCAAGTCCTTTGCTGTGTCCTGTACCGAGGGATGTTAGAGAGGAAATGGAGGCAGGGGACCTGCCCTCGAGGAGCTTTGCTGTTAGGGTGGGGCCAGATGGGAGCAGATGGACTGCTGCCCCGCCTGGATTCCCAGGAGCCCAAGCCCAGGCAGCTCAAGGCGTCAGGACGAAGGCTGGAGGCCGGGCTCCCTTCTCTCTCTGAAAGGCTCCCTCTCTGGGCTCAGTGTCCTCACTAAGGAATCTGTGACTGACTCAAAGGGGAAACGGAGGAGGATGGGGGTGCGGGTGGAAGACAATGAATTTGACCCCATATACGTTTCGTTTTGAGTGTCAGTGGGGACATTCAAGTGTTGACAGCAAGAAAGAGAGAGCTGGAAGGAGGGTTAGAGGTCAGGGTGGCTGGAGATGCCGTTTCAGTGAAGCGAACTGATAAATATGAGAGCCGGCGGCAAGGGGTCAGGGCGGGAGGAGCCGGTGGAGAGCTCAGCCACACGTGTGGATAAAGCCTGCAAGCTTACGCAGGGGACCGGGAGGGGCATGGGGTCAAGTGATGTGTTTTTCACAATAAGGGAGCCCTGGACACACTTGAAAGCAGAGAGAAGAAAAGTGAGGAGGGTGAGAAATTCCTGTTGTTAGAAAGGGATGGGAGAGGCAGGGAGCAAGACCTCACTCCCTGGGAGGAGGGGAGGCCGGGAGCTCCCCAGGGGTCAGCATTCCAGGGCCGAGGGGCCCTTCCTCCTTCCTCTCCAGAGACTGGGGATGACAGGAAAGCCAGATGCCCAGAGAAGGAGAGAAGAGTTGGCAGTGAGGAGCCCTCTTTGAGGAGCACTGACATGGCCCCGTGTGGGAGAGACACTCCGCCTTGTGACCAGAGGGTGTCTCAAGGTCATTGGCTCTGAAATAGCTCTTGGGGACTTCCTAGGGCTCTGATGGGTTGAACTGCTGCTTCATCAGAATCTCTCAGGAAAGCGTGTTAAAAAACACAGATTCCCAGGCTGCACCTCAGGCCTTCTAAATATATGTGGTTGAAGTCTATAATTTTTAAGACCCCACAGACAATTCTGATCCTCAACCCAGTTGGAGACTCAGCCACCGGGTCCCAAAGGTCGGGCACCCAGCAAGCCTCCTGGGAGGGGAAGAGGCGCCTGCTGAAAGGTACAAACGCAAACCTGGAGAAGGCTGTGGCCCTCCCCCGGCTTCAGGAAATTCTCAGTCACGTTCCCTCACACTACACTGCAGTGCGGGTGGGAGGGGAGCAGGGAGGGCAGAGCCTCGTCTGCCTGGTTTTCCACCAGCCAGCTTCTTTCCTACCGTGGCCTCTGCAAGAACAGGTGTGGTGCGCTCAGCCTGAATGAGACTGGGTTCCGGTTCCGCGATGGCCACGTATTTGCGAGTTAACTTTTGCTAAACAGTGCTAATAAGGATGATAAAGGAAATCCACAGGTAATCCAGACATCTCAAAGTAAGTAATGGTTTGTCCCCTGACTTGTAATTATCATCAAAAGCATCTATAAACTCCTGAATTCCGCTCTGTGAGCTGGGATGCTTTGCTAGGCAGTTTCCCACCTGAAGCCTTTGTTTGACTTGAGAAAAAGTGGTTGCACCACAAGAGGCAAACAGTGACAAGGGAATTTTCATTTGTATCGTTGAAATGGACAATAGTTAAACTTCAGAATGTTAAATTTAAAGCATTTAGCCCAACACCCTCCCGAGGTATCTGGGGAGATATTTTTCACTCTGTCTAGTAATGAAGCACCTGGGTCCTAATCCGTAACTAACTTCAGCATCCTGCATTAATCCTTGAGGTTCTTAAATACATTGATCAGTAAAAATGACTCATAGAAAATAGCAATCAGCTACATTGTTCATTAGACTCCAACATTTCTCCCTTCCTCGAAGTCCTCGAGACTTCATGCATTGACATAAACACGGTGAGATAAAGATGATTAGCAAAGAGACTGAAATTACACGCAATATTTCCTTTCCTTTCAAGTTTCACTTACGGGCCTGCAACACATTCGATTTTAAGAGAAGAACGAACAGATAAATACCATTGGTTTTTACAGACTCCAGTCGTGTGCTGGAGGTGCTGACTTGCATTTCCCAACCCTGAGTAGGTAGGAGGGAGACAGATAAGGAGAGAACAGGCCGGAGGCCACCAGCCCAGGTTGGGAAGCCCTGCCGTGAGCTCACCGTCATGTGAGCTCTGCAGATCTCTTTCACACCCACACGCCTACCTCCCCTTGTAATCTCCTTTCTGTCTTTCTCGAAGCTCGGCAGTCATACCTGTATCCCCATCTGCCTATTTCATTCTTGAGTTTCCATCTCTGGTGTGTGTTAAGCAGGAATTCTGGAAACAGAAAAGCTCCCAGACCCACAGCAAATGATTTGCCAGTGGTGGAATTCCGGGCACCACAGCATCTACTGCAGGAGATATTTCAGGGCCCCAGGGGTGGGTGGGGAAGCTGACGGGAGCCTTCTCAGCACCTTCAGAGCTTACCACCCAGGCAGCTGCCTGCCTCTGGTTGCTCCCCAAGGCGCTCTGCTCAGGCCTCCCCCACCCCACCAGTGGCAGCGGCCCAGAGCTGCTTGCTTGGCTTCTTTAGTTTAAATGCCCATCAGGGTTTGTGCTGAGTTACAGGGACAGGGTCTCCATAAGCTGACAGTGAAGGAGCCAGTAATGGAAACCTATGCCAGGCAATCCACAGTCCTCCGGAATTTCCCACCCGGGAGGGGTGTGCAGTGTGTGTTTTAAAGATGCCTCAGTCTAACAATTAAAGGATCAGAACAAATCTGGTTGCAGTCAGTGCTTTGAAACCTTCTCCCTTAGCACTTAGAGAATCCTCAGCATCGCCCTGTGTGCAATGATGCTGACGACAGTGACCCAGACAGGCAGAGGACACTCACTTGCTCCAAATTCTGGGCACAGAAATGTTTACTTAGGTCCAAGCGACGGCCTGACTGTCTTCTCTGTGGCGGGGAGAGAGGACTGAGGCAGGCAGGCTGGCAGCGGGGCCAGGAGCGGGGAAGGAGGGGGGGTTTCTTCTCTGGGAG